ATTAGTCAGACTGACAGAATAGATAGATACATAGTTCTGCTATTAATAACTTTATCAGTGACTCTGTCAGCAGTTTTAATAATGACTTCTTTTTCAGAGTATTTTATAAGTATTAGCAGAGATCTGTGTAAGATTCACAGTCTTATGAATATTATCTTCATAAATTCTATCATTGTTAGAGAATATTAAGCTTCTGTTTTAAGCATTTAACAAGATGTCTTATTCAGATAGCTAGGCAAGTTCTAGTATAAGATTATAGTCAAGATTCTTAACTTTGTATACATAGATATCTTCACATTAATATTCTTCAACATCTATATTTAGTTTTATTATATAATGAGTGTAAATGTCTTTTAAATCATCAAATTCTGTGAGAAGTTGAGGTTTTAATAAGAGAATACACTGAAGATTGTAATATCTTATAACTGAAGATTTAATCATTATATAATGACATAGATTACTGTCTATCATGACTTTCATATTATACATATTATTAATCATAGTAGATACAAGAATTGTATTCATTATTATTTTCTCTTTAAATTGTTATCATCTAATCTTCTCAAGCTTCTGTTTACAAATTTAAACAGAAGTTAATCTTTTCTCTGTTTTATCAGAGTATTCTTATAGTTATCTTTCAAATCTTTCTTCATTGCAATGTGATTGACTCAGACAGATGCTGATTCATCTCTTGAGTGTGAAGATATATAGACTGATCAGCAGTTGAAAGCAATATATTCTGATTAATTACAGTTGATACATACTTCTCATTGATATTAATTGATAACTTCTTCAGAAGTGATCTCAGAAACTCAGAAGTCTATTTAAATGATAGAAACTCTTGTCTGTGTATAGATATTTAAATCTATTTAGTTCATTATATCTGCATCATTGCTGTTCTTCAGTGTGAGTGTATAAGTGACTGAGATGTAACATCTTCTATCACTGTTCTATATACTCTTGAGCTTGATAAGATAATCATTCAATATTCAGAGCTGTGTACAGAAGTCTTTATAAGTTAAGTCTTTGTTTACACTTATAAGAGTCTGTAAGAGTTTGAAAGTTAATATCTTCTTAAGCATGCTAATCTTTATTTAATTCTCTTAAGATTAATCATCTACTTCTAAGATCTTGATATTGAAGTCAGAAATAAATGTTATAAGAGAAGTGTTTCTCTATTAGATACTCTGTAATCAATCTAATATCTTCTATTGTATAGTAGTATCTCAGAACAGAATATTAAAATATTTTATAATATTATCAGTAGACTAGCCGCCGGAATCATGAATTTCACATTTAATCTCATTTGATCTGATCTTATACATTTCTTGGTGTGAATCCCGCTGGGACTAATCATTAAATAAATATGCAAAGTGACTATATATCAGATCTCAAAATGAAATCATGACTTGAAAAAAATAAGAAAGTGATTTCATTTGATCTTATTTAGTCTCATTCTTGACATAAAGTTACTATTTTTAGACATTTTAAGGTTTTTTTTAGACTATTTTTAATTTTTTAAAAAGTAATGCTTTTTGATAATACTTAAATGAGATTTAAAGTCATTTAAAGTAATAAAAATAATTTAAATTGAGAAGTGAAAATCATGATCTCATTTGAAAAATGTGACAAGAGTAGACAGTAAGTCTCACTGAGACAGTATGAAACTACTATCTAATGTTAGAACTGTGTAATGAGATCTGTTGAATTGATAATAAAACTATCAAAAATTCTAATTCTGGTCTCAGACACGGTCACATGATCAGTCTAATTATCAGATATTTACAATACTGATTCACATGCTTTTATTCATGAATTAAACTTCTGTTTCACATAATTCTTCAATTATTTATTAATATATCAATCTTAATTGATTAATGAACTGATAATATCTTCATTTACACTCAGTTTTATAAGCATTTTCATTCTTTATGATGAGTAGAGAGTAAGATTGAAAGTATAAAAATATATAAGAGTATCTAAGTGTTCTTTCAGTGCTTTTATATTTGATTCTGTAAATGTTGAAATTATATAAGTTAATTATTAAATCTCTTTGTATTGAAGTTATTAAATTATGTATATATCTGCTATCTATTACTGTTGTAATTTCAACATTGTTTAAAGTCACTGTGATATTACTTCTATACTCACATTTGAGAGTTCTCTCATATTATTATTAGATATGATTATATTATTTTATTAGATGTGTAATATCTGTGAAATCTGAAGAAGTGTAATTGTATGAATATCTTATATATCTAAGTGTCAGAACTCTTAAGTCTTTTACTAACATTCTCTTTATAAGATCTTATTACAGAGTCAGAGTGACTGATAAGTAAGCTTCTATCTGAGAACTTAATATCTACTTAACTGTGTTTCTCTTTCTTATATATTATTACACATTTAAATATCTCTTGATGAATAATTGTTTCTAATGAGAAGACAATAAATGTTTTTCTAGTGTAAGAGACCTATACTGAATAGATCAGTATAATATTATAGATCTTATATAATAAAGAGAAAAATGTTAGAGAAGAAAAGAAAGAGAAAGTGTGAGAATCAGCAATCAGAGTGAATATTTATACATGTATGTGATAATGTACACAGTGAAGCTTCAGGGCGGAAGAATCTATACGCGTTCATGACAGCTGAGAATTGGCAATTGAGAATGGCCGAGAATCGGAGTGTACAAGAATGGCCGAGAATCGGAGCGTACGCGTTCGAGAATGAAGGGGAAGAATCTATGAAGTGTAACGGAATAGTCTATATGATTGATCAGGCGCAGCCCGCCACAGAGGTGGAAGAATCTATTTATGTTTGTGATGACTGAGAATTGATGATTGAGAGTGACTGACAATCAGAGTGTACGCGGCTGAGAATCAGTGATTGAGAGTGACTGAGAATCAGAGTGTACACATTCAAGAATGAAGCAGTTGAAATCTGTGAAGTGTAATGAAATAGTCTATATAATTGATCGGGCGCAGCCCGCTACAATATCTTATAAAATAAGTTAATTATAATTATTCAATCTAAACTTCAAACTCTATGCTATTTAAAACAGCAGCTCTTAACTAATGAGAACTATATACTCACAGCTCTACTGTTTAACTCTTATCTCTAGAATAAGAGAATTAATGTAACAGACTATATCTAATTAATAGATTATTTTATTATACTCTGTTAAAAGTATACACTTTATGAATTTCATCTTATATATCTGAAACTTCTGTCAGAGCTTTTATTCTTCTATCTCAGAGCTTTATCTTATATATCTGAAATCTTTATCAGAGGTCTTATTCTTTCACTCTAAAGCTTTATCTTATATATTTAAAACCTCTGTCAGAGCTCTTATTCTTTCATCTCAGAACTTCATCTTATATATGTATAAATATTCACTCTTACTGAGATTCTTTTACCTTTTCTCTTTCTTCTTTAATATTTTTTATTTTATTATATATGTTGTATATTTAATACTGATCTTTTCAGTGTAAATCTATTATAGATATTCTTGTAATAACTCTGTAATATATAAGCATGCTATTTAAGCAGAATAATCAAGTCTACTTATATAGCTTCTCACTAGATACTACATATAACACTGCTGTTTAGCTACTGCTTCAGTTTCACCATGTTACAAAGTAAGTAACTTACTTATATCTCAGAGAGTTAGAGTTACAGGCATAAAAAATATAATTAAAAATTGTCACAGAATCTGACTATTTCTTGTTTAATGTAATCAATCATCTAATGCTTATTTCCATTTAAAACTCGCCTTTGTAAATCAATTACAATCAACTTCAAATATTTATATCTCAATGAATATTTATTTAAAGCTATTCTAAAAAACAGAATAATAATTTGTAGATATATATTATATTATATTAAATTTAAATGAGAAAATAACATATAATTATTAATTTATTAAACTTTTTAAAATACTATTTTAAAATAAGATACACAGTCTATATTTATAAATATACTTATAAATATAAATTATTTTCATATAAAAATTAAATATCTTAGAGATTATATATATTTTTAATAAAATATAAAATTTTATCTTGAAATTCTTATTTATTATTGATTTATTTAAATTTTTATGTAAATTTTTATATTTTAAAATACTATTTGTGTAATAACTGTGTATTATTTATACTTTAAAATTGTAATTTAAATAAATTATTATATTAAATCATTTAAATATATTTATATTTAATAAATTATTTTTCAAAATTTAAAATTTCAAGAATTTTCAATATTTTACTTGTAATTTATGAAAAAAATTATAATAAAAGAATAAAAAAATTCTTAAAAATTAAAATATAGAATTCTTATATAAAATAATTTAACATTTATTAAATTATTATATATTTATATAAGAATTATTATTTTTAATAATATATAATACATATTTCTTAATTTATAATAAAATATTATATATTTTATTTTACTGTATTTTATTTTCTAATTGAATCTATATTTTAATCAATTTTAACTATATTATAATAATTTTGAATTATATTATACTATAAGTCTTGATATTTATAGATTACAAATTAAAAAATTAAAATAATGAATATTTATTGAGATATTAACATTTAAAGCTGATTGTAATTGATTTACAAAGGCGAGCGTTAGGTGGAAACGAGCGTTAGGTGGTTGATTACGTTACCAGGCTGTTCATTTATTGATTTTATTGTTGATTATTAAATTTTAAAGATTGCTTAAACGCCATATGCCTGGCTGTCCATGAATGCTTTCCTGCTTCATCAAAAAAATTACTTCATCGCTAGGTATTCAAGTTGAATATTCAAGTTGAAATTTAGGAGGTTTTGCCACTTGGCAAAACTTTGCCGGCAAAAATCGGAGTCTAAAAATTTTCTACTCCTGGTTGTTACCGGATGCGAAGGGTTTGATGAAATTTTCTGCGGCAACATCGGGAATGAGAGTTTCTTTCGATGTAAAATAATAGTTAATAATAACTCTGGCTCATGAGGTTAAATTGACTAGGCTGCTGGGACTACTGGTTGCGCCAAGGCGGGGAGAAGCAGCAAGGAAGCAGCAAGCATCGTTGCTGTTACATTTTAGTAACTGATAAGGACTGGGAAGGTGACCCTTGCGCCATGGCATGGGCCATCCCGCAGTCCCCTCCGCCGATTCTTGCTGTGAGCTTGACGGAGTCCTCGCCAACCCAAGTCTAGTCCAGCCGAGGCTTTCCTCGGTGTGCTGGTCAGGTTCCTCCGTTCAAGGATAGCAGCAACCTCGTGTACATCATTATTCATCCGTTGAGGGGAAGTGGGCCGTTAATCGCGATGGGAACCTTTAGCTGGTGTGACATTGAGTTGGCAACAGAATGCCATGACGACTGCCAGGAGAGGAGGCATTATTAATAATCGTGTTGCCCAGGCGAGCAGACTCTCTGGAAGAAGGATGAGGGAAGAAGGATGATTACATGTACATGTACGGAGTACATACATCTTTAGAGCCATGATTGTCAATCCTTGAGTGGCCTCCGGTCCTTACTATGTCATTTTGAGATTAAAAACAGATAGGGAGAGGCCGCAAACAACCCTCCCGGAGCTCCTGGTCAGGATTAATAATGGATGCCTATGAAGTGGAAGGGAAGGCTGGGCTGGACAAGAACGGTATCACCACGTGATCTTATCTGACTGATTGTTTGGCAGAAAACAAAACAAACCAACCTTCCGCAAGCGCGATGGATTTTAAATATTGGATGTAATTGCGATAAATAGTTAACCACCCCATACCATCGCTGAACGACTATCGGCCTCTCAATACACCCAGTTCTTGAGTTCCAATGGCTATATAGCTAAGGGCTGCGTCAAATGGCTCGTCGCGTAGCCGTCCGCTCCCCAACTGCTGCAAGTCTCCCAGACTCTCTCCGCATTCCCCCCACAACCTTTTCACTCGTAAAAGCCTTCGGAAAGCTATCCCGATCCTCCCTTCTTGACCTGGTACTCCAATGGCTCGATGACAAGCATGTCAAGGTCTTTCCGCCGTACCTTGGCCCCGGTAGCGTGGCCAATTTCGAAGAGGAGGATGAGGAGGGTTTAAATGCCTACCCACCTGCCGCATCTGTGGAGGAGTTGAGGGCCATATATGAGGAACTACGGGACCGAAAGGGCGGCAAGAGGGAGGTGATTGACCGTATCCTCGAGGGAGACTGGAGACATGGGATATCGCTACGCCAGCTTGCAATGGTGGACATGCGTTATATCGAGGATCATCCAGTCGGACAACGATGGACGGCTCTGCAATTGGTACCCATAGAGGCTGATTCCGCCCAGCCCCAGTCAGGAGGAGATATCTCCACCACCTTCCCCCGATTCCACTCTTCAACTTTCCTTCAATCCATACAGCACGAGATATCTGCGCTAGTGAAGGCTCATTACCATACATACCGCTCAAAAACGCTTCCGTTGACCTTCGTTCGCATTTTCGTTGTCGACTCTCCATACCAGCAGCCGCGGCAATCCCCATACATCTTCACCGACTCATCGAGAATAATATACCTTGCCTTCCCCGATAGTACTCCATATATATATTCCTCCCAGCTTTCTTCTCCATCACCTTCAGGCGCAAAAGCCACTGCTGCAGCTTCAAGCAATGCGCTTACAACAGACGCGCGTACCTTGCGCAGACTGGTCAACCATGCAATACCAAAAGCACTCTCCCGACCCCAAGAACGATATACCCTAAAACCCACCTCCCTAACCGCTAAGAGCCTCCAAACTCTCCTTGCCTTGCGCGGACCCGGCAGAACAAATTCCGCCAATGGCGCATTCACGGTGTTTGCCGACGCGGTGGTTGAGGGCTGTCCCCTTGATCCACGCCTACCGCAATCTGTTGCGCCAGAAAACTACAACACTCATACTGAACATAAATTTGGATACACTGAAGGCGGGAAGGAGAATGAACCACTGCCACAGCAGCACGGCAAATCGGCTGCCAGCACCCTTCCTACTACCATGGGAAAGACAAAGATGCCATTCCAGCAATCAGGAGGAGTAATAACGAACGTGGAAACCCTGCAGCTAGCCAAGAAAAGAAAATTGGCAGTGGGTTCTCGGTTTGGAACTGCTGGTGGCCAAAGGATTCCCCCGGGAGTCTCCACCTCTTCCGCGAGTTTATTCACCAAACAGCCAAAGTATGATAACGCGCCGCCACCACCACCACCACATCATCAGTCCGTCCCCGCCCTCGACCGCCTAGAAATCCATCTCCAAGACCCTCCTATCCCTCGCCATAGGGGCGACGGAGGTGAGGATGACCACGGCGATAACGACGACGACGACGATAACGTTGCCGTTGACAATGAAGATGATAACTACCAAACCAGACCATCAACACTCACTCTAACCTTCTCCGGCTCAAATGTCATTGCGGGCCTCCGAGAGTTGGCGGAGCTGGGCGTGATTGATCCCGCGCGAATGCCGAGCTGGATGACGGGTGAGGAAGGGGTGAGTGTGGCTATTGTGAAAGGGGGGAGGCGGCGGAGAGGGTTTGGGGTGTGAGAGGGCGAGGAAGTCCTGGAGAGGAGAAGGAAGGGGGTTTGTGTGGTGGTTATGCTTGTGTAATTACAACTGGCGTTGTTTTTCTTTTCTATGTTTCAACTTTTTCTATTGTTTTTAAGTTTGTTAGGGAGGTTTGTTTTATGTTTGAAGAGGCTGGCTGGTTATTTCGAGGATAAGGGAGGGAACTACTTCTCGTATTCTGTTCGTTCTCATTACTGTTTTGTTTCTCGGTGTTTGGGGCGTGTGGGGTGGGTTTCTCGTGTTCTGGCGATTTGAGGGCTGGTTTATATATTTATCGTCGACCCTTGGAGACGAGAATCTACGTGGGAAGGATTCATCAGGGAGATTGAAACCGATGCCTTTCGTTCGCCCACCCTGATTGACTTTCGGATTTGAGTGTGTTCTGCTCCTTACTCCAAGCTCTGTATCTGTATATGGGTACGGACTTCTAAATGGTAGATAATTTCAAGGCGAGGCCTGTGGAATCTCGTGATCGTATTTGAAATGCTGGTTTCATTCAATGAACAGTACATATCTCAGCGAGCGTTCATCTGTCTGGCTGCCCGTATATCTGTTATATTTCGGAGCATTCCCCTGCGCACTCTGGGGAGTTCGCGTTCCCACTACCTTACATTTCCTTATGCTAAAGGGGGCAAATATTTAGGGCAAAATTAATTCGTAGGGTATTATCGTTCAATGGGTCGATGGGTTAGCAGAATCCAAAGAAGTTATTATTGAGGACTTTCAAGGTTGGAAACAACCGCTCGCGGCTCCCATCTGAACTGAAAATGGACATGGAACGCTTCCCGGGTCTGCTGGTGAGCTTTGGTTGGTGACTCCCTTGACACTTTCATTCCTCTACCCTGTTCTCGAGAAATCCTTTCGTTTTGAACCAAGCCTGCCATCAATGTAAGGGGGATGTAAGATATCCTGTACAATAGGAAATATCATGTATAGTACCTGTACATCGCCGGACATATGTCTTATTTGGCACAGGCATTGAATGTTGATGCGCGTAAACGCTAGTCAAAGGTAGAGTAAATCGAAAAGAGTTCAAAGATATACCCGAGACAAGGCATCTGCGGTATTTGCTCGACGGCATTTCTTACCAACGGGCGAATTGTTTTAATCCCTAGGTGTTTAGTAGAATATATCCATCCTGTAGGGCTTTGTCGCTTTTAGTAATAATAGGAGTACCGAGAATACCGTCGCGACCATGGCTGGTGATATGTTGAATAGTCTAACAGAGCAAATAAACTGGTTAGAACTACTAGGCCCGAAGACTAACTTGAGAAGCAAGCCTTATGCGGGGCAATGCGCGCGAAAAATTGATAACATTGCAGAGTAAGGTAGAATCCATACCTCGTTCACCCGACAATCCAAAGTGGTCAGCAAGGTTTATATATCCTTCGTCGTTGACTCTACCTTCGGCCAAAAGGCCTTGCAAGGGAGCCCCGACATCGGCTTCCCACGCGGAACGACTACAGAGTAAATAGGAATCGCGTCAGTCCCCGACGTTTCGACCTACATTGCCTTCACTAGAGAAATAGGACTTACCAAATGACGCAGCGGACTCCGTTGCTCTGCTGGGTTGCCGCCCACCGCCCGAAACAGGTTTTATGGATATTGTTTCCGCAAGCTGCTTTACACCAGACGATTTCCTGTGACTTGGGATCAAATTCCATAAAGCAAATTGGGCAGTCACCTTCGACGGCTCTTCGTTTCCCGGACTCGTTTTCCGTTGAAGCATTTTCTTGAGGGTTTATCGGAGCTTTCGCGAAAATCTCACGAAGCTCCTGGTTATCATTATTAGTACTTCAGATACTCACAATAATTTCCTCGTGACCCTTCGCAGCAGAATGATGACAAAAGTACTTACCGATGATAGGAATGCCAACTGGTACTCGAGATGTCCAGATACCTTAAGCACATTGTGTAGGACCTGTCACGTTGTTTAAGGATACGCTTTTGCTTCTAGTTTGGAAGAACTTCGGGCTTGGGCCTTACATAAATGATATGCTTGCATTGATTTCCTTGCTGCGAATCAGGACAGGTACACCAAGGCTCAAGCCCGATCACGACTTCATACAGATTCCCAGTCGTCCCCACAATCTGCACCCTCTCCGTCGGCACCTCTTCTGTGCCTTCCCTCTTGCGACCAACGACAAAAAGCCTTTGAAGAGACAACACGTTAGCAGCAGCTAAACATTGGATATATATCTCTAGAAATATTATCCTGAAGGCCCGTACCTCTGCGTCCTTGCTCTCTCTAGCTTCTGCAAGTAGGTCTGAGGTGGATGCGTCCGGAATATACGTCGTCTGCGTTCCTCCTTCTCAACTAACGGAGAATTCGCGGCTCTCTTCTTCCGCTTTCGCGGAGCAGTTTGAATTTCAGGAGAGCTGACTTGCCCCGTTAAATCGATAACAGGCGCAATGCCACTTACGATTTCTCGTCGAACTTGCTTCCGTTTTGCTGAACGGGGCGTAGTAGTAGTCACAGCATGATTGTTGCGTTGGGTCTCTTCAAACGCACGCTTTCTTCCAGACCTGCGGGGCGTACTTGGTAGAGGTAGATTCCGTTGCTCACTCGCCATAGTTCGTGGTCTCGGTGGCTCAAGCCAAAGTTTAGCAAAAAAGAAAAGTATTGAAGGCCATCCCACAAAATTGCTATCCCAAAAAGCCCCTGAGGATGGACCTTCTACGCATAGTTACGCTGTACAACGCCTCCAAGTAGAGTTATCACGTGACACATTGACATCTGGAGGTTAAGAAAAGCTTCAAAGGCGAAATTGCCAAGACACTAAACTGGTGCGGAACATTATTTTTCCTCCAGGCGCCTGTGGTTCATGGGAAGCGCCGCAGCGTTTATCTGACAACGTAATGCTGTTTGTGTGGCAATACTTGTCATTTATTATAGTCATATAACTACTAAACTAATCTGTGTGAAATTGTTACAAAATTTCATTCAAAATTACATAGCAAATCCCCTATGACTATTGCATGAAATCCTCCGCATGGCTCGGCCTCGCGCTCTCTCTGGGGCGGCTGAAGTGGCCAAGGAGCCCCATTCAGTTTCACTGAAAGGTATGAACACTGGTCGCGGTACATGCTTGTCGAGTTTGCGCAATTACTGGCTGATATCATAAAAACCAGTCTTACGGTGAGCTTTTCTTCCGGTTCCATTCTTACAACAAATCCAGTTCTCTTTCCCTCTTGTGCTTATACCGTTATTCTCGCCGTTCGTGGTCCGAACGGACACAGACTCTCACGACCCTCTCTATCATACCAATATCCGCTCCCGAGTGAAAACGAAAAGGTCCCTCTTAAAGCGTCACTCAGCTACCCTTCTGATAGCTCCGACAGTCAATTCGTTCTCTGTCCAAATGTAAATATGTTAGCTCCAGCCTGCTCCAACATCCAGTGCCTGACATTTTGTTTCGCAGGTTACCCTCCCCCCAGCATTTGGATCTGCGTATGTGGGCGAAACATTTTCCTGCTCACTATGTGCAAACAATGAACTCCCTCTCTATACCGAAAACCGGGTTGTGAGCTCCGTTCGGATAATAGCAGAAATGCAGACACCATCTCAAGTCGTTTCCTTGGAACTGTCCCCGACAGGGGAAGATTCTCAGTCTAGTGGATTGGCAATAGCTCAATCTTTGCAAAAGATAGTTCGATTTGATTTAAAGGAAGAAGGAAATCATGTCCTTGCTGTTAGCGTTAGTTATACAGAAACAACTTTGGCTCAACGGGATCAAGAAATGGCTCCTGGTATTGGTGGCGCTGGCGCAACTCAGGCGGCAAGTGGACGAGTACGCACGTTCCGGAAGCTCTACCAGTTCATTGCCCAGCCATGTTTAAGTGTACGAACAAAGGCGACAGAACTATCACCTCTCGAAGTAGACAATAGAGCGCTTGGTCCCTATGGAAAGACGCGATTACTGAGATATGCACTTGAAGCGCAACTAGAGAACGTTGGCGATGGAGCGATATCTCTTGGAGTATGTTCTCAAACGTTCACTTCTTTTGCTGGATTCTTCTAGCGTTCTCCATTGCCTACAACCAAGACCTCATTTAAAGCCCAGCTAATTCTTCGTATGTTTTCAGTCGACTACTCTTAATCCAAAACCACCTTTCAAGTCAAGGTCGCTAAACTGGGACTTTGAACGATCCGATTCACCGAGTGTGGGACCGCCCACGCTAAACCCTCGTGATGTTCTTCAAGTTGCATTCTTGGTGGAACAAGAGCATGGACAGCAGGAGGGCCTCGAAGACCTGCAGAAGGATATAAGTCGAGATGGCCGGACTATCCTTGGGCAGTTGTCTATTGAATGGCGAGGCAGCATGGGAGATAGAGGCTTTTTAACCACGGGGAATCTTATGACAAAGAGACGGTGATATCATGTAGCAAACTCTAGGAATATGAATTCAATTGCTTTGGAAGATTTGTTGATCTATTAGCTACTTAGGTTTCAAGTAAATTAAGTGCGTTGGACAGTACAAGACAGAGTAGAGATATGTGCAGTATATACGCGAACATCCTGACTTCGGTGTACCGAAGGACTGGCCATCGTGTCGGATGAGCTAGACAAAACTCACAATCTATCGTCCCCGCTAGACCTGCGCCATCCTGTAACAACATGACTCTTGTATGGGAAATACCTGTTAGCCTCTGCATATTCATTTGTCGATTTCCAGCTGGCAACTGCACCTCACGCCATTCTAGTAGATATCTATAATCTCAAAGCTGATTCAGGAGGTTTTCTTAACGTATACCCAAGTCACCCAACATCACGAAACCCACTGCTATAATTACTAACAATATCCCCCTGCCACTGTGACAGTTGGTAGAGGCACTCAACTAAAATGCCTCTTTCCTCGATCTCTCAGCTTTGTTCAAGTCAGCCATTCAGCCATTCAGCCATTCAAAAAATCTCATCAGTCTCACGCTAGAGCTAGAAGGCACGGAATCATGCATGGTGTTGGGAACTGGCAGCTGCCCGAGCCCTCCATGGTACATGTACAATACATTGATTGCCCTGTGGAACCGAATCAAGTATTCATTTAACCCCCCCCTTCTCCGTATTTTCACGCTCAGACAACCGACAACCTATCATAGTCGCAAAAGAAATGTTGATAATTTTTAACCCAGCAGCCAATTTGGATGAAGCAAAATCCAAAGTGCAGCGTGCGGCTACCGGGATTCCTACGTAGGATAGTGGTAGGAATCATTTCTTCGTGCTCCAAAGTACCCCATGATGCCCAGGGGTCTCCTTGATATGTTCGAAATTTCCGAAATCCTTGCCCTATAGAACAGCCGGCTTACTATCACCCCTTTTGAAGCACGTTGGTGAAAAATTCCATTTTGTATTTGTTTTCTCTTGGGATTGCTTGCCTTCTTGATAGTTCTTGTGGTTCGCGTTAAGAGGCTGTGATGGGCTTCTTTCTCCCCAGGGTTGTGGGAAATGTATACAGAGTATATTCGGGTGACAAATCCACTTGTCAAAATGGCTGTGGTGTCCAAGAGAGCAGCTAATGGAGCCGGATATAGCACTTTCTCACTCTGGTACCTGACATAGAAGTTAGGAATAAGGTTGGTGGAAGTAGGATAGTCGATGATATTGGGGAGCAGGGATATTGGGGGGGGGGGGGGGGGACCAGGAAGGGAATATCAATGGGGAGAGCTTCCAGAGCGGCCCAAGCAAATTATCTCTATTGTCGGGGTCTCAACATATGTTTCTGACAAATAGCTTGGTGAGAAGGGATTATAAGGGTAAATAAGGAGATGGATATTGGATATTATTTCTACACTGTAGATATCCAAGAATGATGGTCATACCCGCAAGAATCGTCCTTTCTTCGTCCATCGCAGATAAGGAAGAGAACGGCAACTTATGATGAATAAACATAAGGAAGGCTTCGCAACATGCTCAGGGAAGAAGGCACTGGCCGGCTCCACCAACTAACAACAATTACCCTTCCTTGTCCCTATAGGGCGTCTGAGTAAGAAAATAGGACTGTAGTCCTCCCATCTGACGTACATGTACATGTACAGTACATGAATGTACATAACTGGAGACTCTGGATAAACGATTGCACCGAGCGATGCAGGTACACACCCCACCTTAAACGCCATGTCTTACGATTTTTTTTTTTTTTTTTTTTTTTTTTTTTTTTTTTTTTTTTTTTTTTTTTGGGTTTCGGTTTCCAAATTATTTAGAGCCGAAACCCGAGATCTATATATAGCAGCGTGGAAGTAGTCTAGTCTGCGGAACTGGCTAGAACAAAAAAGGGGGTAGAAGTCAGATCAGTAACTAGCCTGAGAACGAGAGCTTCAAAATCTGACAAGAGCAAAAAAAAGAACTAAAATAAAATAGGAACCAAGAAGAGCTACCGGCGAGGCGCATGCATGACTTCGGTATCATGTTCATCTACGATCTTGAGTTGCACAGAACATGTTGGGGTTTATATTCCCACTCACTGGTTCGCCGGATGTCAGGGCTTATTGTGTCTAAGTCAACGTTGTGATGCAATTCTGAATGGAGCATCTGTGGCGGCTGAAGAGTAATAATAGTATGGCGGGAGGTTCGTTTTCAAAACTCCTTTTCTTATTTGCCACGGTAAGCCCCGAGAGCCATGCATGGAGTAAATAATTAACCTACATGATGAACTTCGGAAATCAAGCGTGAGAATTAATCTTGGTGTTACTGTATTTGGTTCAATTGACCAGTTCACGCCCACCCACGGGAGCGAGTTGACACGAAACCTGCATGCTGTCCTGATAGAAGACGTTACATTTGTCGTTGTTTTCTAACATCGACTGACTCCCTGGTGCTGGGGTAATCCTCAGGCCCCTCTGGTGGGTGCGCCACGCATGGAAATTCTTCTGTGGGGGGGGGGGGTCTGGAGCGAGCCGGAGCTTTCATCCTCATGCGGACATTTGATCAGCAGGTTGTCCAGGTCTCGTTCAGCGGTTAGTTGGGGGTTGAGAAACGAACCGAAGGCTGAATTGAATGCAAGCAAGGGGCCCGCAGGGCGATCTCTGGGAATGATTGCTATCAACATGTGGCGGGCAGTTGCGGGCGGATCCTTCCCCGGTTTCTCAAGGCCTCTGCAGAGTCTGCACTGACATGTTAGCCGAATCATCCATAGCAACTGACTGCGGAGGATTGTGGCCCTGTCGAATAATTTATCTGTTATCGTTGATGCGCCGGCCCTCAAAATATAACTAATAAATACTACTTTGCGAGTTGCTGTCTAATCATGATAATAGCCATGAGCATCCTGAGCTGTTGAGAAATAATTGTCGTGAGGATATGAATGGTGAGAAACATCTCCAGCATAGCATATACGAGATATCCCTGGTAATAATTGAACCCTGTTTATGCGTGGATGGGTGCCACGGCCAAGATTTTAGCGCAAGGGATCATCTCCGATTACGTTAAGTTACCCCTGAATATTTTAGTGTTCGCTGTTCTGTTCGTTTTAAATCTGTTCGTTTAAATACAACTCCCACAAGCTTGAGTTTGTATTTCCTGATCTTTTCGGCACAGCGAAAAAGTAAATACAAGATGTAGAGAAGAAATGCCATCTTGCCACGTGTAAGATTTTTCTGCTTCATTGTCCTTGTGGATTGGCAGCGCCCTTGAGGACAAGACAGTGGAGCCGAAAAAAATTCGTTCTGATGCGCTTGGCCCATATGCATGACATCCATCCAGAGGCCTATTAATATTTGGGAACCTCGACTCCGCCCATAGCACCCGTGTTTGGGGGCGGGCAGAGCCAAGCAGCAGCGGTTTGTCTCCACAGGTCGGCTGTCGCATGTGAAATAGTTCTTTCTGTGTTCAACCACATATCAAAACGTTCATAGCGAATAATACCCTCCTGTAGGATATATATATATCTGTGTATCTATTTCTGTATTCTTCCACGCTGCAGCTCGCGGTGAGGCGACCTTGAGACCAAGCAGTCCGCATTTACCGCTCGCCTTTGCGCTGCTTCATCAACCAGGCCAGGGTGGTGACCATAAATTGGCAGCATCGAATACGACCGTCCCTTGGTAGAACCTAATAAGTTAAGCGCTAGTTCACAGTGACCCAGAGTTGTTTCACCTGCCTGCAGGTCGACAGCAAAAGTTAGACGAGTTTGTATCTGGCTGAAGTAACTATTCCCCACTAATGATTGGTTTTCCTGTCCAGGTCGCCTTCTGCAAAACGACCTGAAACTCGGTGGAATATAATATGGTTCAACTATTTTTGGTTCCTGAACAAGTCAAACCTAACTTTCGCGGAGACTGGTTGGAAGCTTTCGCCCTGGACCAACAACTGGCAACAAGCAACTGTCTCAATTATTGGTGGCCTCGCGGGATTCTGGAGCCCAACGGCTGATGATAACCTTTTCCCCTTCACTTTCTTCTAACTATCTGCCACTTTTTCGACGACCACCAGGCAAATTAAAATATAATCACGTAGCGGGTGATTAGGACCCAGCTGAGCCAGGCAAGGAGAAATGCAAGCCGTGGGACTCCCTAGGGGCTGTCCAAACAATTGATACTTGGCTTTTCATTTTATAGCAATTATTATTAGTTATCGAGCCTGTTAGCTGTCAGTCGCGGGCGGGGTAGGGCAGGACAGGTCCTTGGAGTGACTTGGAATGAATGGCAGACTCCCCCATTAGCTCGACCTTCCAGAAGCAGCCACGATGTCTTTTTTTTTTTTTTTTTTTTTTTTTTTTTTTCTACCAGCTAGAAATTCGTAAGACCTGCACTGCAATATAATACATGTACAGGGACTGTAAGCACAAACTAAGAAATTTATCTCCAGTACACTACACTGTACGGAGTTACTCTGTAGCCAAAGGAGGGAAAGGAACCCAACCAAGACAAAAAAGGAAGCAAAAGGAAGCAAACGGACGGGGTTTTGCTTCCCCACCTACAAAGCTTTCCTTTCTTTTTCCACAACGAGAGACGAGAGACGAGAGACGAACGATATATAAACCATAACTACCTGGTTTGAATCATAACCCCAGCCGCCAAGAGACCTGCTAGTGGCGTCTGGCGCAGGGATTAGTTAGCGGGACACCCAGTTTCCTCCAACCGTTGGTGGGTGTTGTCTTTAAATGGTGGCTGATCCAAGTTGCCGGCAGAAAACCAAACGCAACGACACCTCCCTCGCCCTAAGCACCAAGGAGAGCCCAACGAGATCGCTCATCCTCCCGAACTCCTCCTCTTTATCTGTTTGTCTTGCCTGGGATTCCATTGTTTTGCATCTCTGCCACCAGCCATCGGATAACCCGAGATCCGTTCGAACATTGCGAAAGGCTATGATATCGAGGTGCGGGGGGTCGATCTATTGTTTAGCGGTGCTCTAACAACGCTGTCTCTCTCCGTCCAGAAAAGTCATACCAACGATAACAAGAGAGGAGGGCTATCCCAAAACGACTTGTAATCACAGGACATCATGGCTCCATCACCTTCTGCTGAATCGCTCCCGGGTCCCCTCGCAGACTTTTTTTGGATTGCTGGTGTCGATGGGCCGGAGATCCTGGATATATTCTCGAAGCTTGGGGAGGAGTACAAAGCCAACCATTCCCAATCGCTGCCGGTAACGGATACAATTCAAGAAGATGCAGATGCAGAAGAGGCAATCCACTCTCGTTCAGGATCACCCCAGCCGTCCTCCAAGCGGAATTCGTCCCAATGGCTACCAAAACCATCCGACGAGGCGAGGTTATCCTATCGATCCATGGCATCTGAAACACCAAGTAACCGGAGCAGCATGACCATCAAAGGCTCCCAATCTCCAAATGGACTCTCTTTACTCAGTGACGGCGACTTTGACAAAGCATTGTTAAAATTTGCTGCTGAGAGGGACTCATTTTTGTCCGATCTCTCGCTCAGTGCAGGTGCTGTAGTCGCCAATAATCGGCCCAAACCACGACCTAGGACACAGAAGATTGTGGCAGAGGAGGTCAACCCGCTGAAGTCGAGCATTGGTAGCGTTCGCAGACATATGTCTTTTAGGGACATGAGCAGCATGAAGAGACAACCATCTCTTGCACGTCAGTGTGAGTAGTGGCATATTGTTACCCGTTCTGAACCTTCCCTATCTTTATATCTTCAGTTGGATTCTGCTAACTAATACTAATTACTACAGCTTCTGTTCGCACTTCCAGACGACTAAGTAACTACAACTCGGTAATCCCAGTACCTCAACCGCTTGATGTATCTCCTAATATGCACCCACTGAAGCGTAAATTCGAACCTGTCCTTCTCGACAGATACCCGCCGAAAGGAGTCCCAGACGAGACCAAACAGAGAGGCACCTTCCCTGACTACGTTCCAATGTTTGCTTTCCCGAATGATATCAATATCGTGTCCTCTGACCAGAGACCCCGCTCGACCTGGCATGGGTTCGCAATGACGTCAGGAGATGGATCTAAGCTACATGGTGTCTGTGTGACGATTTGGATTCCCCTCAACCATAGAGCTGCTGAGGAATTGGAAAAGCGATGTGAGGAGTGGAGGCGAGTCAACATGACGGACGAGGAGCGGGAACTGGCTGCCAGCCTGGGTGAACGACTGGCCATGGAACGACGAAGCTATCCAGGCTACTTGCTCAGCTGCCTTCAGTGCCTTCAGGCTCCGCCTCCAGGGACCAGCTGGAAGATGAGATAAGTTCAGTGAGGAGAAATGGCTCATGGCCGATCTCCTCCGCCCGGTCCGACTAGGTGCTGCAACTAAAATTGACGGGCTCACTGACGGGGATACAGGATTTTGGATCCCGAGAGCATACGGAATTTAGGAAAAGATGGATCAATGACCAGGAAT